GCCGTATGAGTTTTGAGGGGATGCCAAATTCAGACATAGCGGCGTATAGGCAACTCCTTTTAGTGCTGTCAAAAGCGGCTTTAATGTCGACAAATAGGTGGTGAGTGTCGACCCTTTTCTCGCGGGTCTCGTATTGTGAATACCTGGTCTATGGTGGATTTGCCAGGTCTAAAGCCACACTGATAAGGCCCAATCAATTCATTGTAACCTTGTAATGACCTTGTAACCTATGCTTAGAAGGCTAATCCCGCGGTAGTTAGCGCGAATGGCGGGGTCACCTTTCTTGTGGATTGGGCAGAGCACACTTAAATTCCAGTCGTCGGGCATGCGTTCATCAGCTCCTCGCCGCCGTACTTGAATAGCTCGGCTGGCAGGCCGTCAGCTCCAACAGCTTTGTTGTTTTTCAGTCGCGTTATTGCCATACGTACCTCGTCATAGTCAGGCGGTGGAACATCGACTCCGTCATCATCGACTGCGGGCTCGGGTTCTTCTTCTCCACAACTTCCCGTGCTGCTACCATTTAGTAGAGCGGAAAAGTGTTCCCTCCATAATTTAAGTACGCTCTGGACATCGTTACTAGGTCGCCATTATTGTTCTTACAGGAGTACGCCCCGGTCTTAAAACCTTCCGTAAGTCGCCTAACTCTCTGGTAAAATTTTCGGGCATTCTTCCTGTCGGCCAGCATTTCAAGCACAACAATAGAAATTGTTAAATAAAGAAAAACACAAAAGACTGGCGGCAAAAAATTAAAAAAAAAATCAACGGGAATTTTAGGCAGCACAATGTTGGCTATACTCAAATATTATTTGCTATAAAACTCGATACCTTAAATGGTTCTAAAAATTCAGATTAAAAAACTCGAAATTTGGACGAAAGTTTTTCGAATTTTTCTAAATGTTGTATATAGTTTGAATACTTGATTTTTATGGATTTAGTTATAAAGCAACAAAAAATTTTACTTCAAAAACATACGAATATTTAAAGAAATCACCAAGTAATTTTTTTAGTCACTGTATTTGTCTATAATAACTCGAGTTGAAGTTTTTCAAATGATGAAGTTTCGTTGTTGCCTTTAGTTTAATCACTTCCGCTTTAGGTTGAAGGAAACTGATAATATGCCAATAATATGACTCAAATACTGTATAATTAGTTAAATAAAAAGTTCCTTAAAAGAATTTTAATTCTTATTGAAATACCTTAAAAGATAAAAAACTTTAGTTTTAATTAAAATAAATTAAAAAATAACAAACCTATAGTTTTTATTAAAATAACTATAAAAAACAGTTATTGGTAGATATTTTCCAGATTTGGTAGATTTTTCTCCAGTGGATGGTAAATAGTTTTTTTCGTCAGGGGCAACCCTGATAGTAAGCTATATATCAAAAAAAAAAAAAACATTTATTAAACAAAGAAAAGTAGCCAAAACTTGCCAAAATGTCATTTCCCAATTTACATCCTCGCCACCGTATATATATTTATCCGGTAGGTTGGTATTGAAAATGGACAAAATCGTACAATAACCACGCCCACCTCCCGTATAGCGCTATTTTCAAAAAATGCAAAAACTACAATATTTTCACAAATACAGGATCCAAATTGTTGAAAGTAGAAACGTGACATGGCGCAGTAATATAATAATATTCCACCATGGGAATATGAAGTAGAATTTTGGCATATAATAAGACCTATGAAATTTTTGGAAAATAGGGGTGAGCGGTACAACGAATCATGAAATGCTGTACCTATTTAATACCTTTACCAATCCCCACCAAACTCAGTGGGAATATTGCTTAGAGTTTCACTAAGGCCCTTATAGTAGAACACCACAACAGCTTTTCAGGCTTTCAATAGCTGAAAGCCTTAAAAGCGCCAAAAGGCCTTAAAGGCTTGTTGTGGGGTTGCACTCTAATAAACCAGTTGAACATTGGGCCTGTTCGAGGCATATTATAAAAGCGGCATTACTGCCGTACTGATGAAAAATGACAACATTGTTGCAACTGCCCAACTGATAATACATTGCTAGAAATTCACTCATAACGTGATACTTTAATGATTCGCGCAACACTGCGGTTGTGATTGCAACTCGAACAAGCCCATTATTGAAATCAGGAAAGACCCACGCCCACTTCCCATGTAACGGTAATTTACAGAAATACGAAAACTGCAATAAATTAGTAAGTACATAAGCTAATTCGCTCTAAATCGATATATGCAATGAGCTCTTAACAGAAAATGATAAGTTTTTGGGAAATGGGCGTGGCACCGCACACCAACACCTACATGCATGTGTGTGTATCTCGGTAACCGGTTCATCAATTTTTAACAAACTCGGTACAGTTGAAAATTTTAGAAATCGGACTAAAATAACGCCCACTTGCCATATAATGGTTTATTTCAGAAATACGAAAACTCCAATATTTCAATAGCAAAAGCATCCAACTTACAACAATATCTTAACAAGAAACAAGAATATAGATTTTTCGAAAATGGGCGTGGCACTACCCACTTATGACCAACTAAGTGTAAATCGATAACCACTTTATCGATTTCCACCAAACTCGGTCCAATTACTCTGAGGAAATAAAATAACAAGTTGATAGTTGTTTGCCAGAAAAAGTACGTAACAATCTAAGCAAAAAAATAAGTGCTTGCAAACAACAAAGAATGCCTGCTTTTTTTTTAGTTTATGGAAATTCCACTTAAGTGGCAGTCCATGGTCAAATATGAATGCTCAATCGCAAGATTATTTTTGTATGAACTTAATTTTACGCCGGACTTTGCTTTATCTTATTGCATTAATTTAAGCTCATCTCAGCTGCAGGTTAAGCACATCAAAGTTACTAAACTAAGCAGAACTAAAGCAAAAATCAACTCCAACGTTTTTAATATTGATGTTTGTTTTTTATATTGATCTTTATTTATTATGTATGTATTTACAGTAGCTTTACACACAGACACAATAATAATAATAATAATAAATTATAGTTAGAATTATGTTGTTATATGTTTGTTTTATGATAGCTTAAATTTGTTTTGCTATATATGAATTTATATTAGACAAAGAAAGCTTGCTGTTTCCATTCCAATTAATAAACATTCAACTATTTAAAAAAAACATATATATTTTATAGAAAAAACTTGTTTCAAAATCAACAATTACGGAATGTAAATAAAAAATAATAATCATTGCAGTTTAAGTTTAAATATATATTTTTAAACGCGTGTAAAATTTAAAAAATTATGACGCCAATCTATAATTAGTGCATTTTTATTTCGCTTCTTTATGTATTTGCGTTTCCCACTCTTTTAAAAAGTTATCTAAATTTTTGTTTATTTCTTATCCCCTTCTCACATAATACTTTTTCCATCCATCCTTTCCTACTCTTTTGATAAAAAAAGTAATGTGTAAATTCACTTAAATGAAAGAAGGAAACACAAAAACTCATAAACTCTTTCGAAGTTCTAAATTTTCTAAAGTAAAATGTATTTAACGTTGCTTGGAGCAAATTCTATTTTACACCCATACACATTTGGCGACAATTAACGCACATTTTGCACACTATTTCTGTGTATATTTAGGTATACTTAGATATAGGTTAATATATGTAATTCGTTATGTGTAATTAACTACAACCTCGACCGAAAATTTGCTTCTTTTCCTCTCCCTATGGCTGGCCATAGAGCATCTCCGAGCCAGGCGGTATTGAACTAGGGTCAACGCTAGCATTGAAATAACTCGCTGGTGAGGCAAAAACATTTGTCATCGCTGGTTGATTCATTACCTCTGCACGTCCAGTGGCCGTCGCCAAATTATAAGGATTAGTAATGTATTCCTGATAGATATCGGTCTCGCCACTTTGTTGTTGCAGTGCTGAGTACTGCAGTGTAGGTGGCGCAGAAAAGTTTTGTATAATGGCAGGATTCTGTTGTTGCATCGCAAGGTACTGACCACTTGCGAAGAAAGTATGTTGAGTGTTCATTGGCACATTATCGACCGCCTTTGCGTCAGCAGGCTGTTGTTGTTGGTGCTGCTGCTGTTGAACGTGTTGTTGTTGTGGCGTTAGCTCTGCTTCATCAGCTACGAGTGCTGAGGCGGATTTATGGCCGCCAAGCGAATGTTGATTGTATAAAGAGTGCTGTTGTTGCTGCTGGAGTAACAGCTGCTGCTGGTGCTGCTGTTGTGGCGTGGCTGTCGAAGCAACAGCGTAGTCTGCATATTGGTGGTGCAGCTGCAGTTGTGGTTCATGATTTTGCTGTTGTGATGGTTCAACATTTGCGCTAGCTGCTGCCGGCGGCGTTTCCGGTAACTCAATAGAGAATGAACAACTGCTGTAAATATTATTTTGCAAACTATTGTTCTCAATAACCGATTGTTGATTCAACGATAAGTGAGTTGGCGACAGGTCCTGCGTCTGACTAACAGTTGCTTGGATGTCGGATAATAGAGGAGTGTCATTAACTAAATCAGGTAAACTGGCTGGTGAGCTGATGGTAGCTGATGCTGATGGAGCAGGTAAAGAAACTGGAGATGTTTCAAGTGGGGGCCCCACGGACGCGCTTTCAGCCGCCGACTCAGATATGGGTTTTGCCACAATGCTGGGCACAGGGCGTACTAACATTGGTGTATCGCCCAACAGCAATAACGGATTGGTGGTGATGGGTGAAGCTGCTAGAGAGTGACGCGGGGATGTTGCTTCCAGAGTGTGACGCTGCGCGCTTGTCAACTGCAAGTTATTCAATAGAATTATTTAAAGGAATTAACAACTATATATTTTGTGTATACTAACCAGCTCAGCAGAGTTGGGTCGCTGCGTATAAGCTACTTCCGTGATACCATTTGGCGCATTCGCCGACCGCTTATCGACTGGTAAAACCAGTGGGGTAGGTGGCAGCAGCACCGGCTGTGCGTATGTTTTCAGTAGTTCTGTTGATTTAATTGGAGAAATGTCGTTAGGTGAGGTAATACTTTCAGCTGGGGGTATTGGTGGTGGTTGAGGTGATGCGGCGGCATTGGTCACAGACATCACTTGACCACGCTTATCTGCAAGAGTGAATGTGGGAGAAAGGTGCGTGAGTATGTTAACGACAATTGTCATAAGAAATGTAAAAAGTGAACAAGAGAAGAAAAATCGAAATTTTGTGGAGTAGGGAAATCGGAACATCTACTCTTTGCAGATCTCAAAATTAAACAAACAAATTTCGTTTATCAAAATATCTCAAATTTATCAGCTTGTTGATGCGCGTTCCCATTCCTTTTAGCGCTTGGCAGCAGATGTGTCTTTAGCTTAAACACATTTCTAAATTTTCGCTGAATGGTATTTGGACCCGTCTCAAAATTAGGCGGAATTGAAACCTGATTTTCATAACGACCGACTTCTTTCACTTCGCTACTGAAACCGTGCCAATTACTTGCTAAATCGGCTCTTAATAAACTAATTTGATTGTAATTTTGAAGGTGACACTCTATTTCGGATATAAGAGGGTTTCTCCATAATTATGTAAGCCTCAACAATACCGTCTTTCTATGTTAACATTACCTTCATCATGAAACAGTTCCTCCTTGATGTTCGGCAAAAATTCGCCAATACGCTTCCATGTCAACTCCCACCGCGGTAGCTGCAGGGTGCCGTCATCATTGTGGAAAACGCGCACCGAGTGCATCACCAGCAGCATGTTTTTCAGTATTTCCTGCATCTGCTCAGACAGCAGATCCGAGCCCACTTTCATAAATCTCTCAATATAGTCCAGTATGTCAACCCAAAGCTCGTTAAAGGCCGTTCCCAATTCTATCAGCGGTGTGAGGTGATGCAAAAACACCTTCGACATAATGGTGGCCGTGCGTATGCGCGACTCCTCTAAAAGTACAATGTCCAAATGCGCCACAGATGCGCACTCAGGCAGCAATTCATTNCGCCGTTCCCAATTCTATCAGCGGTGTGAGGTGATGCAAAAACACCTTCGACATAATGGTGGCCGTGCGTATGCGCGACTCCTCTAACAGTACAATGTCCAAATGCGCCACAGATGCGCACTCAGGCAGCAATTCATTGAGCAACGGGAATAATACCTGCTGGAAACACGACGTCCATTCGGCGCCAGACAGAGTCTGCAAGTCATGCACCAGCAAAGCGCGTTGCTGCAAGCAGGATATGGCATAAGTGCGCACCTCGCGTCGTCGATCCATGGCTAGGCGTGCGATACCCTGAAGCAGTGGGCACCAACCTTGCGCCCACAGCGCCGAACATTGTGGCACCGCGCACTCTTCCTCCGCCCACCAACGAAAGATCTGCGCCGTGCGCGTATATAACGTATACATAAGGTCAATCAACTGTATGGAGAGCGTTTCATAGCGCTGACGCAAGTCCTCCTCCTTCGGATCACCGCCGCCGCGCTGATCCTGCACATAGTGATCGCCCCCGGTATTTGCTTTACGGAGCGCATCACGTTCGCCACGTTTCCCCACTGCCTTACGGCGTTGCGCAGCGGCATTGGCGGCAGCTGTATTTGANTGGATCACCGCCGCGCTGATCCTGCACATAGTGATCGCCCCCGGTATTTGCTTTACGGAGCGCATCACGTTCGCCACGTTTTCCCACTGCCTTACGGCGTTGCGCAGCGGCATTGGCGGCAGCTGTATTTGACTTCGACGTTAGCTCAGCTTCGAAACGGCGGCGCTGTGCGATACCACCATCGCGACAACACTCAACAAAAGTGCGTATGCAGCGCACGCACGACTCGAAATTGTAGGGCGTGATGTGAGCAACATTGCGCACGATAAACGCAAGCGAGTCCCAACATTTGAAAAGCGCAATGGGCGAGTGTTCGCCTAGTTTGCAGTTGTAGAACAGTGGCGATAATGATAGCATTGATACGGGAGCGGGCAAAGATCCAGCGATCGGTGGAGATTGGGGGCTAAAAGTTGACACAATTCATTAATATATCAGTAAAAGTATGAAATTCAAATTTATTACCGCGACTGCGTTGACAAATCGCTATCCTTGTTTACCAAAATCCAGTTTTCCGCAGTTGGACTCGACGGATATGGGCTGCTCATATGCATATTAGTTTGCTCTTGTTGTTTATGTTGCTGTGACTGCAGCTGTGATTTTACACTGGCCTCCGTGTCCGAGTTATAGCCACGATCAGGTAAACCTGAATCTTCTTCGCTGCTCATTGTGCCATCCGAATGCGCGACACCAATCAACTCAAGCGGCAACTGTGGCAAAAAGGTGTCAACAATTTCTGGTGGCACCGCACCGGCTCCAACGCATTCCAATATAGTGAATATTATCTGCCAATCCTGCTCCGAGTGTATATTCTGTGCTGAAGTTTTAAGCAACTCGTAAACACCAGTGGAAATCTGACGGGAAATGCGCAATATAACTGGCGCTTTCAGTGTGAGCAGCATTTTAAGCGATTGCAGCACAATGGGACACAGCTCCTCGTTGCGCATCAAATAGATGGCCAACTTCAGCACAGCTACAATGCTGCGATTGAGCAGGTATTCATAATCGTAGGTCGTAGCGCCAATCAAAAGCAGATAGATGCGGTCGCGCACATCCGGCCACAAATGCACCATGCGGTCGCGATTTTGTATAACTATTTTAACTAACAACTCCATCCAGAAAACAACAACGTCTTCGCTATACTGTGCACCCTCTTCGAATTTATGCGAAGTAGGAGGCTTGACCAACGCCAAGATATTTTTGAGCAGCTCTTGCAGTGAATCCAACTGCACAAACCTCGATTCTTGTATCATCTGATCCAATTGACATTCTTTTATACACTTCTTGCCCATCTTTATGAACTCCTGTTCCTCGTAGGTGGGCTCGCGTTGGCCCTCCGATGAAAGATAAGAATAGAGACTAGAGAATAGGCCTGCCTCTTGCTTCTGGCTGGGTTTTACTAACTTCAACTGTGTTTTACCACTCTCCTCACAGAAATCCTCCACCTCAATCAAAGATTTTGGCAGCAATTTTAAGCGGAATAATTGTAAGAATAATTCCAGTATGTGCTTCCAACCTTCACGCAGGCAATCACCATAATCATGCACCAGCGCGAAGACAGTGCGCATTGCGGCCTGTGCCTTTGCATTAAAACCGAAATTAACTGATTGTGTGATTTCGTTGTTGGACACAGTGGGAGCCTCCGGCTGAGATAGATTCGAAAGTGTAGTGAATTTGCAAAGTGTCAGGATGAGCGCATCGAAATTAGCGTGCAAATTGTAGTGGGCCGCAATGGCAGCGCACTTGGTGAAGCCTGAAAGAAGAAGTATGAGATTATTTCAAAGTTCAAATACGCATAAATTTTAAGGGCTGGGCTACTTACCACACAATATACGCTGGTGGCTTTGCTCTGAGCTCTTGTCAAACATAAAGCTTAGCGCACTTAATGAAGCACCCCATAGCAGGTTGAACACCTCCAAATCATAGGCAGAGTCCTGCACATATTTGAAGACACCGTCTGGCCCAACGCCACGTCGCAACAGCACCTTCCACAAGTAATTCTCGCGTACCAGACCCGTCTGCTCGGCTGGCATAACAATTTCTTCATTTCTTTAATGTATAAAACATGAATTAATACCAATAATCAAAATCTAGCAGTTACACTCACTTTATCGCATTAAAAACGTTCGAAAGCATTTCCTGATCAAAGTCCACTCCGCCGTTCAGGCCACGCAAGTTCTTCAGGAAGTCCTCTTGTGTCATAGGCACATTTAGACGCTTCGCATTTGAATTGTGCTGATCCATATTCAACATTATTATGGCATAAGCTAAACTGAAAGCTGCATCGGTATTGGCAAAAGGCTCGTTGTTTTGTTTCTGCAAGATAATCAAATAAAACCCTAACCTTTATGAAATCGGTAATCAAAGGCAGCGCACACTCACATGCCAGTGATCGGCGAAATGTTCAAGCACAAGGAAAATAAGCGGTGCTTCACCCGGTAAACGGAAAGTTTCCAAATATAAGCGCAGCGCTTGGTCCACTCGCAAGCCAGCAAAATCGAAGGAGTCCACGAAATTCATTAAAATCTTCGAATCGACATTTTTCTTTTTCGAAATGTACTCGCCAATCATTTTCTTGTCAAGTCCAGGATTTTCGCGCAGAAACAAAGCCACTTCCATAGGATCGAGCTGGGCACTCAATATGCCATGCTCCTGCAAGTATTGTATGCCCTTATCGGGCCGTTGATTGAACAACTCTGTGCCCTGTGACAGCACACGCTTCTTCTCCTTCACATTTGCTAGGTACTCGCGAGTTAGGCCTACGTTGGCAACGCCACCAGCACCTATGCGTAAACGCGACGAGCTATTGATAAATTTGGAAATATTCTCCACAACCGATTTATTATCATCGTTGTTGCCATCGATTATGATACCCTCAAGTTCGGAGTTGTGACGCGAATGGCGGCTAGTTGAGGTCATTCCCACGCCCGAATTGCCGTCATCCTCATTATTTATATTCTTCGACGCAATACAATTTTGCTCAATATTTTCGATAACTGAAGTCAGTGTGTCTAAAGAGATTATGTGTGTGCTATAAACAGCATTCGTAGCGGAGAGTGTGTACTTGGAGAGCAGATTAACAAGACCCTCAAATAGGTCGGTGCAGTACAAATCGCAGTCGTAGTTGATGTAGAGTTCTGATACGAAACCAGGTATGCGCCACAACTGTAAAAGATTGTCCAGTGCGAGCTCGCGCATTTCATAAGGGGTTTTGGGGCTATCGCTGGCGATGATCTCCGATAGCTTCTTTAGGTAAGCTTCCATTTGGAATTTCAAATGACCGCGCAGCGATTCAAATAGCAGAAAGCAAAGTTGTAGATCTGCTGCAAAAATTGTTAAACGTTCGGAGTTCATTAGCTGAAAGAAAAATGAAAATTAGTTATGTTCATTATATGGCAGCTCCGTCTATACACTTACTGCGAACAAATTTCTGCACAAGTCATCTTTTACCAACTCCAGTAGCGTGTCGTATTTGCCAATGTTATCTGCACCCACTTTAAAAGCCATTGTGAGCAAACTCAAACCCATATGTATCATGGTATCAGTATTCTGCTTGTCTAATGGATTACACAAGAGTATTAGAAAACGAAACAGCTCCTGTATGCATGGCAGGCCATAGGGCTGCAATGACGCAGCTCCTTCGGACCCATCCAACGAGTTTTGCTGCGTAAAACGCACGCCCACTGAATTTATATATTCACTGCTGCCACCACCGTTCGCCTGCAATGCTTGCTCCTCGCTATCTGTGGCTTCGACAGCTTGCTGCCCTGTTGCAGTCAGGGGCTGCGCTTGCGCATCAACTAATGTGCCATCTGCATTCTCGCCACACTGTTCTGCGCATATAGTAGGCTCTGTACTACCCTCAGTGTCCGCAGCGCCCTGTGTTGTGGTAGGTGTCTGCGTAATTTTTCCCTGCATATCGAGTATATTGCCTGCCGGTGTTGCTGGCGTAGTGGCCAAAGGCGGAGCTTTTGGGTGTAGCACTTGCAAGTGAGGAGTCGGTGGATCCACTGGACCCGCTGCTGATAATTTTCGCTCTAACTCTGACTTCGCTGCATCTACGCCAGTCTTCGGCGGTGGGGCATGAGTTGCTTTCACTGGTTTTTTTCGCTGTTTATTTTTGTTTTGATCCATAGCAGAAGCTAGCATCTGAAATTTGCGTAAAACATTGGCCGCATTTCGATCTTCGGAGAATTGTGGTAGACGCATGAAGAGGAGCCATACCATATCTTTGAGCGCTTTTTTGGCATAACGACGCAACAGTTCATTGAGGCGGGGTTCAAAACATATCTTAAAGCAGCTCAGCATTACTTCGCAAACCGCTTCATTGCTTAGTACCGACCCCTCAGGTGAACGCATAAGAGTGTGTAGAACTTCGACAACGCAAAATAGGGTAACGCCGTCCGAGGACTGATCGGTACCCATGAAACGGGCATGTGTAACCGCATCGACAATGTTCTCGACAGTTAAGGCGAGGTTTGTTGAGGTGGGGTCTGAGAAAAAATATTGAGAAAATTGAATATGTATGAATGTACATATGTCCCTAATTTTTTATTCTTTTTTCATTTAAAAATTATCAAACATAATTTATTATTTGCTACGAATTCCACATTCGTTATCTTATGACCCTATTATGTATGGCGACTGATTGCTGATGGGCGGCCATATACTAAAATTCGCATTACGTATAGCAACCGGCTACTAACTGTCGGTGATTGAGTCTAGTAGCGCAATTTTCTGTTTCCCGCGTATGACGATTTGGTTATTTGCGTACATATATTCTTAAACACGATGGAGCAACGTTGCCAGCTACTTCGAAATGTACATTTCAAAAAAGTAAACTAGGATGTTACTATTAACTTCTGGGCCCTTTTTGTATTTTTCAGTTTTATTTAAACCACTTACCAATTAATCCCGATGAAAGAAATTCATTAATCGCTTCCAGCGCCAGACTAGTAACCGCACCTGTTGTCTCATCTGTTCGTATCACCTCCAAGAAGGGCGCCAAAAAAACGTTGGGTTCTATTAACCTTAAATCTTCAACACTCTTTAAAATCTCTTTAAGGTTAATAAACAGTTTCATTAAACCATCTTTTTCCTCGTCCTACACAAAATGAAACAAACAAAAATTAAATTACAATTAAGCACAACATATGTTCCAGAAAAGTGACCTATACTTAGCATATGCATATGTATCTACATACATTAAGTAAGGTAATTATGTACGTAAGCACTCAGCACACTTACCACGTAAGCTGACGAGTTCCAGCGCGAGCCTCGCCGCATCGCAGTCATCAGCGTGGACATTTGCTCGCGCACCACAAAGATTCCATTGCCAGGTAATGTCATTTTGTAAGATTTTACTTTTGGTTTGTATAAGATTTTCCTTGTCGGCCACGGTTTCAACCGCAGCATAGGCGCAAACACACACACGTACTTGTTTATCTATCACTGCTACTTCAAATATATTGTTAAACTGCTAGTATTTACGTTGCCAATCCTCTACTGCAATATGCCATTTATTTCTTCAATAGCATTATGCATTTCTAAGGGAATTTATATTAAATATGCACAGTTTTTCCACGCAACCACGACAATTTTTTTACTCAATAGCAAATAAGTGATGACGTTTCGTTAATAGGATTGAGTTGACAGCTGTTTATGATGTATTCAATTGGAATGTAATTGCCCATGGTGAAAAGTAGAGATGGTTAACTCAGCACTGACCGGAGCTGACTCCCAGCAGGGTACATCTGGCTCAAGAATGATAGAATATATTCTCTCCAGCGTGCATCTGTCTGACATTTGATTGGCTGATCTTAGAGTAAACCAGCCAGATCGGGCGTTTAAACTTAGTTTAAACCCCGGCCGTCCACTGAAAAACTAGCCCTCAGAGTAAATAATGAAAACAAGGCGAATTTATACAAACTTGTGTTATTGGCGAATTTAGATTTTCGCCGCGATACTTCTTCACGTCAAAATGATGTGTTTGTTGGAAACAAGGCGTATTCATATTACAACAAACAAATGATTTTGACATTAAGAAGTACTATATTCACCATCACCACCAAGAATGATAGAATACAAGATTGCGCCGATCAGAGAGGATTTTTGAGAATAACTTTTGTGTGACGTCACACTGGTGCAATTGCGAGAGAGAAATGCCAAAACGTGAGCAAGAATGGAAGAAGAAGAAAAAATGATGCAAAGGAAAACGTAAACAAGTTGCACCAGTGTGACGTCATGCAAACAACGATTCTGTCAAATTCGTTAAGAGAAAAATAGCGGTACCGAGATCGGCGCAACCTTTGTATTCTCTCAATCGTGCATCACCACAAACAAGAGAAAATTGGGAAAAATTAGGCTGTGTTGCTTCGTCATCAGAGTGTCATAGCTCAAAGGTGCTACCACACTGAGCTGACTCATTAAAAGGAGCTTAAGCCATTGAGTTAACTCGCTAAAATTCAATTAGGGGATTCTCTTAAAATCGTAAGGCCTCAAACCGTGTAAGGGCAGTTTTTCATTGGACGGCCGTGGTTTAAACGCTGTTGTTGTAGCGGCTACTAAGCCCCGTTCGGGACGGTTCATCCATCATCGTTGTCGTCTATTTCAGCTAAGGGGAGGCCCAGGAAGTGGTGACTTCCACAGGGGGTGTCCATAGGGACAGGGGCGTTAGCTGAGTGGGATTCTCAGGGCATGTGAAGAGGTGCCGGGAGTCATGTGGCGACTCTCCACATGCCGGGCATGGGTTGGGCACATCCTCGTTGATTCTGCTCAGGTAGCTGTTGAGCCTGCTGCAATAGCCAGAGCGAAGTTGGGCTATTGTTGTGCGGGTCTCCCGAGGCAGACAAAGTTCTGTCCCGTCCACGTCTGGTGGTTGTGTGCCTAGAACGGCATTCACAGGGCGGGAGTCTTCATAACTTGAGACTGATTCCCTGTGAATGCCGTTGAGGGCCTGTCTGTAGGTTGTCAGGTCCAGAGGTTGTTTAATATACCTCTGGACTTCGTCTGTCAGTTCGTAGAGATGCCTCCTGACGTGCCGTGGCGAGGGCTCTTCCGCGAGCAGTTGCCCGCTGGGATGGCCACGTCTGTAGCTCCCAGCGAGGAACTGCTTGCAAAGCATTAAGTTATGCTCCTTTACCGGGAGCATCTGGGCCTCGTCATGAAGGTGATGTAGAGGCGTCATCAGGAGGCATCCTGTCGCGGTACGTAATTCCGTGTTTTGGCAGGTCTGCAGCTTCATCCACTGCCACGACTTGAGGACATTGTTGCGGCTCTGTACTTTGTTGACAATTGCGGTTGTATTCGCCGAGAAGGAGAGCAGACTGTCGAAGGTAACTCCGAGGATTTTCGGGTTATTCACCGTCGGTATTGTTACGTCATCGACGTGAATACCCAGTGGCAGTCTGACCTCCTTCGTCCAGGTGGTGAAAAGGGTTGCCGAGGATTTCGCAGGGGATAGGGCTAGGCTCCTTGCAGTGAAGAAGCGAGAAAGTTCGGAGAGGTAACCGTTTACTTTTGAGCACAAGTCATCAATTCCATTCCCAGACGCCATGATCGAACAATCGTCAGCATATGAGACTATATTAACACCCTCTGGTGGCTGAGGAAGCTTTCATATGTCATAATTAAACAGCAGCGGGGACAGGACACCACCCTGTGGTACCCCCTGTTTAATTTTACGTGGCTTGCTGGTTTTGTCTCTGAATATTACTGACGAGTGTCGACCACTCAGGTAATTCGCCGACCACCGTTTGAGTCCCTGTGGGAGTGAGGAGGCCTCTACATCTTCTAGTAGCGTTGAATGACTGACAGTGTCGCACGCCTTGGACAGATCCAACGCTACTAGAATAGTTCTCTCACAGGGGCGGTTTCGGTTTAGGCCACGAGTTATCTGAGTGTTTATGGCGTTAAGTGCTGTTGTTGTACTATGCACTTTACGGAACCCATGTTGATGCTTCGCTGGGGTCAGGTGGTTCGTAAAATACGGGAGCAGCAGGGCCTCGAGTGTCTTCGCTACCGGGGAAAGGAGAGTTATCGGGCGATAAGACTCTCCTTTGTTGGCTGGTTTCCCCGGTTTGAGCAGTGGGACCACTCTCCCCATTTTCCAGATGTCTGGAATGACGAGAGTGGCCATAGACAGGTTGAGGACCTCCGTTAGGTACGCTACTCCCGCAGGACCCAAATTTTTCAGCATCAACATGCATATTCCGTCGGGTCCAATGGCTTTGGAGGCTTTCGCCTTCCCGATGGCTACCCTTACCTCACCGCTGGTGAAAACAAGAGGCGCACTAGGTTTTGGCATTTTGTGCAACCTTCTGGTCACTCTACGTTTGGCTTTATCCACCGTAGGATGCAGAATGAACTGCCGGCTAAAATAGCTCGCGCATCTCTCCGCGTCCGACGAAGCGTGGTCACCAAAGTCTATCTCGACTCTGTCGTCGCGCTTCGTCGGGTTGGACAACGACCTCACGGTTGACCAAAGCTTGCTCACACCAGAGGCGAAGTACCAGATCTTCAGATGCTCTTCCCATTTCTTCCGCTTATGTACGTTCACAAGTTGCCGAATCTCCGAATTGAGATCCCTCATACGGGGATTTCCGGGATCGGCCTGACGAAGGTTGTCGGGCTCATCAGCTAGAACAGCCGCTTCGGCAGGAAAATTCGGACGTGGATCCTTAATACATCCTGCTGGAATGAAGCGAGCTGCAGCAGCGGTGACAACCCTGCGGAACTTACGCTCACCTACATGAACGTCGGTTGGTATGGGTAGTGCAGTGAAGGCGCNGTGAAGCCTTTCCAGTCAGCTTTGGAAAAGTTGATATAGGTCCGGTGATCCACGCTCGATCTGGCTAGTTTAAACTAAAATCAGCCAATCAAATGTCAGCCAACTGTTCAATTTAAACTCAGTTTACTTAAACTAAGTTTAAACTGGCACTGAAAAACTGACCCTAAAACTCGTAAGTTTGCCAGGCTTTTATGCGAACGCCCCCTTTGGGAAACGGTGTAAATAGGTGCGCGAACATTCCATAACATACCGCATCTTGTCTCTATCACTCGTGGCTAAAATACAATTAAAAATGCCGAAAATTACCAGAAAACCTAAGTCAAAACAATTGGTGGATGAACTTCATTNATGATTGTTTGACAGATCAACAACGATTTTCTGAAGCATTTTTTGTTTCGTAGTATTTTCCATAACATACCGCATCTTGTCTCTATCACTCGTGGCTAAAATACAATTAAAAATGCCGAAAATTACCAGAAAACCTAAGTCAAAACAATTGGTGGATGAACTTCATTAATTTTATTCGCGTATTATTTTTTAAATTTATTTTCATTATTTTATCATACATTTTAGTATAAAAATGTTGTTCCCTCGGCAACACTGAAGTTTACGAGGTCATTTACGCATCAAATTTTCCTCGTAAATTTACGAAAGGCTCGTAAATAGAGCCCCATAAATATTTTGACAGTTCCTTTATGAGGCTCCTAAATTTACGAGGTTTACCATGATCCAAGTACACAAGATCTGACAAGATGAAGCAAAAGAAAAAAGTAATTCTTTTGCTGACGTTTGTAATTTCGACGCCATGTTATTTTCTTTAAAAAGCAAACAAAGAATATGAAGACGGAGCATAAAGAAAAAAAATGCAAGCAATTTTGCAGCACATGTTTGTGCTAACCAATTAATTATTTTGTACGGGGTTTTGCAACCAATCATCGCGCACTTCATTTTAATTACATTTGCACAAAAAAAATATTGAAAATCGCTCAAAAATCACTGAAATAAACCACCGACAAAATACACATAAAGAAAGAAGCAAAACAGAAATAGCAAACTTCAAAATTACGAACGTCACACTCTTGTTTCTCAATTGCTATTACAAATGGCTGCTTCTCAACCGGTCAGATCTGTTCTAATTGGTTCATGTAACCAAGGTATTTTACGAGTTTAATATCATGTCCCCACCGGAGCTAACCACGTAGTTATGGCTATTGAGTTGGTTATCCGATAACCCACTTGATTTAGCGTAGTTTCGCCATATAAAAATGACAGCACTTAACCATTTCACTGAGATGGTTAAAAGCTAACCAACTCGAAACCACGTCGAAAGTCTGATACAACCCTGTGTTTTCCCGCCATCTGTGGGTCATTAGCGTTAAAATGTAAAGAATTCGTTCCCTACTAGTGTTTGGACTCAACTAAGATCAGATTAGATTTATGTACTCCGGTTTTTGAAAAAATTTGAAATCTACTCCTCTACGCCGCTTGACTTCAAATCTATTCCGTTTTTTTCATTCATGTTATGCCCCTCTTGGGGCCGTTTTTTGAGTGTTCA